GACAAATTATTACACTGCGAAATAGCTGTTTAAATATCGTTGCTATGTTTACATTTTAAATTCTCCGAACGTTTTTTTTTTTTGGATTATACTACTATTGGAACGGGTAACGAAGAGCCATGTTTTTTTGAGGAGTTAGAAGTTACCCGCCGTGCAGTGCGCGTTCTAGATTTCAAATTCAGAGAAGTATGACAAAATCGACAACAAATCTAGTATATTTCAAGGATATTACATTATTGCCGCACATACACGATGCAAAACAAGTTAAAATACAATGTTTTTATTTGCGATTCTCTGCATTTACGCCAATTTACAAAACATACGACAGCCTGAGGCCCAGCGACATTCTCCTTCCCAGAGTTCCTTGCGGTTAGATCACCGAAAGTATCTCTGCCACCATATACCGCCATTGTGTGGTGAAACAAGTTTAAACATATTCAATGATAGCTGATAATGATTTTCTGTAAATGTATTGTCAAGGGTGAAAATAATTTCATCGCGGAATAACGGTTACTAAGGTGTTACTCGGCCCATCAAACTGACCGTCCTGTCGATTGCCAAGCGAAGAAATATAAAGAAACGAAATCACTTAGGGGTATCAGCGGCTAAATCGTTCTACTGTCACGCCATTTGTGTTACGGAAAGTAGAAAAATGTTGGACGTCTTTGAAAGTAGTGCCACTGTTACGCATCGACCAATCAACGGCAAGCATAATATCGTGTGGTAGCAGAAATATATTCGTAGAAATAGAACTCTGCCTGGGAGATTGGCCCGCTGAGTGAATGTGACGGGCACGTAGATGTCGTAACTTGTTGGATTCGAACGCTGCACTGAACTCGCATGATCCTCACGAGGAGTTTTCAGATAAAATGCGATTTATATTACTATTTTGGGCTATAATAATTCGTATTTGCACTTGTACCAGGTTTCCTTGTTGATGAAATCATTTTCTCAATTTCTGACAACAGATGCTATGTCATACCCATAATCCTTTGCTGAAGAATCAAGATGGCGGACTACATACATTGATGAAAAGTTCAATATCTAGAGAATGAAAAAGTGATATAAAAAAACTGTAAATTGCATATTCTTACATTTGCCGAGCTCTTTTATCTGGAAGTATTATATTGTTAGCCTTGACTTTCCCTTTAAAGGGCGGTGGTCGTCGTGCCACGCATGCGCGAGATATGGGTCTCGTGTAAACAAAGATGGCGACTTTGACTGTTGAGCAGATCAACGAGTACAAACTAAGGAGACGTTACCAAGCTTTAATTAGGTACCGTTAGCGTCCGATGTGCTGTACTGTAACGAAGGAATACTGCGAATTCGTGAGTTTTCATAGTGAGTTGAAATTTGCACCCTCAACTTGGGTCATGTGTGAAAAATCACGTTAAGAAAAAAACAAGTATTGTTGAGAACTAGGAACCTAGTAAACGGGTGTTGTAGGGAACAAAGCAATTATTTATATCTATTGAAGCTTAACAATCCGTAGAATATGTTGGTCATTCGTTTACTCTATTGTATAATGCAATAATGATGAAAATCAAATAAACGAATGACCACCAAATGTATTTCAGGCCGTTATCAACTTCAAAAGAATAAATGTTTGTTTTGTTGTAATAAATAAGACAGCAAAATATTGGTGTTTTTGAAAAGCCTCGTTAGGAATTTGACACTTTGCTCTAATGTTTTATACAATAGAATAAACGAATGGTCACCATATGCCACGGATTCTTAGCTAGGATGGTCGTTCCCCTCTTGGGCGTCACGTGTGAACGTATGAGCGCCTATATTGTATAATACTAGTATTATGGCTTTACATCCAAAGTTAGTCGGTTAATATGCTACCCAGAATACAATTCTGTGCACAATAACTCAGCATCTTACACAGAAGAAGTGAAATACAACGAGAACCATTACGTGTGTTTCCAAAATAAAATGGTGTACATGATTACTTTGAATCTCTGAACACTAATGTTTCTGAAAAGTAGAAAAGTACTGAGAAATTTCGTTAAAAATATAATAGTATTTGGTTTACATGTACATTTTAAAATTACAACAGGTATTTCACTATATCCATTCAATAATTACGACAGTACAAACCTACGTATAATTAATTACACACCGTATTCGTGACGTCTGCATCTCTTAAACTCCGTATACGATGTGCGATTAAGCACAATCCAACGAAAACGCAACTGCTTCGGCCCATTGCTGTTAGTGGAAGGTTTATTTGCAAAAACACAAACTGTAGTATTTGTTGCACAGTCATACATATCATGGGACAACTTTTGTATTGCTATTCAAATCCCGTATAAAATATCGCTCAGGAGTTCCGATTGCCAAATGTACTTAAGTAACGATTTGAACCAATTTTTTCTAACTGTTATCAATTATTGAGAAAGAACTCTAAAATTCTAAATCTGGACATTTATGTGACATGCACGATGCCGGCCATCTTTGACATCGTTCAAACATGTATTGTGGTCTTTCTTTGAGCTGTTATATGAACCTTTAGCGCCGATGATCTCATGTAAATGTTATGGATTAATTGTAATTACCTTGGCCTCAAGAAACCGACCAATCAACCGATTTCCCAACATTTCCCCATATTCCTGATATCCCGATGCATATATATTATAATATTGAGGTACCTTAATACCTTAATATATGTGATGAGTACATTTTCAATGTGTAAATTTAGCAAGGTTTTTGCGTATGTCCTACACCTAATAATAAAACGAATCACTTGTTGCAAATAAGTATTATATATATGAAATCCAAATAATGTTTACGATCGGGGATATTCATTCAAATGGTGTTAGTTATCCGGAATATGCTGTTGTTTTCTCTGATTATTCGTCCTACTTCTTCACAGTTACTATTCCTATCGATACCATATACTTACCAGCACACAACTCATTCTAGACACAATCTCGTGGGTGTAAATTTCAATGTGGTCATCACATCGCCGCTAGTTGTTATTACCAAATACATCTTCGTGGCTACGTATGGAGTCCTACAGAAACAAGTCTGCATTGGTAAGAAGTTGTGAAATGTACATGTGCTTTATTAGGCGGTCACTATAGTCTTATGTCCTCTAATAATAAAAGCAATAATGGCTGCCACCTTGGTTTGACCGAACTCCTCACAAAGAAGTTCGCTGATTCTGTTCTAATTTTTTGGATTCTAGCATTCCCATGATGTATCATTGGAAGGAAAAGATGTATAATAATAAGGTTATTACGAGGATACACTAAGACCGTCGGTCGATACCCCCGCTGTACTGTCTTCGTGCATAATATGAGGTAGTATCCTCGTAACAATCTCATATTAATTCTGGTTAGTATGAATAATACAATACCATCTAACTTAATGATTTTAAATTGGGTAACTGTACGACTACGGGTATGCACCAATACGTACAGACAGTCGATTGCACTGGCAAACTTGAAGAAACTATTAATACAGGACCGGGCGTTGTACCATTCACTAATACAATGCTACTCCACTTGCAATGTTGGTAATTACAATTAAGTTTTTGATATACTTTTTTTTTCTCATTTTATTTTTGCCGTATGACAAACAGAAAGCCCGAGTATGAATTTCAAAAAATGCAAAAATAATAACAATAATGAACTTCTCGTAACACTGTAATGGGCTCAAGGCTATTGCCTTGCGCATATATATCGCATAAAGTATGCTTGATTTCATTATGGACTGTATATTGTCCATAATTGTTTGAACAGATGCATTACACAATATAACAAACACATATTATAATATTACAAATGTACCACACAATGTAACGACTGTGCAGCATATTACCACATATTCTTCACACAATTTAACGAATACACAATATAATATAACAGATGTGGCACACAGAATAGCGAATGCCCAGTGTAACATAACAGATGCATTACGCAATATTGCAACCACGCTGCATAATATAATGAATATATCACACAATACTGGTATAATTCGACAAATGCACAGCATACTGTAACAGATTCACCACACAATACGACAAATGCATAGCATACTGTAACAGATTCACCACACAATACGACAAATGCATAGCATACTGTAACAGATTCACCACACAATACGACAAATGCATAGCATACTGTAGCAGATTCACCATACATTACGATAAATGCTCAGCATACTGCAACAGATTCACCACACAGTACGATAAATGCACAACATACTGTAACAGATTCACCACACAGTACGATAAATGCACAGCATACTGTAGCAGATTCATCACACAGTACGATAAATGCACAGCATACTGTAACAGATTCATCACAACGTATAGTGAATGCATAGCGTAATAGAAGGCGTCATATAATACAGCGAATCCATAGCATAATAAACACCTGCACAACACATTATAGTGAACACGCAATATAATATAACTAAAGCACCACGTAATGTAGCAACACACGCGTCACACAATATAGCGACTACACACACACGCGGCGGTACGAAGTTTTGCGTGAGGAT